TAGGAAAGTTACCTTTAGTTGTTTACCATAATCACACATTTCCAGTACTGAAAGATGCAAGCAGAATTTATCTGAATTGTCCTATCTCATTACTATAACATGAGATAGATTCCCCTTACTGGGAAGTCTCATGCTTCCATTTTTGTCCATGACTTGTAATTAACTCTTATTATCCCAGCAACCCCCGGCCTCTCTCCAAAAAGAGGAAAAAGAAAAACAGCATGAGTCATATTTCACACCAAAATTGACCATAAATACCCAACTGATTAAGGGAGTTCATGCAAATTTAGTCATCCTGAAAGCCTCCAGAAGTCAAGACATCATGGAGGACCTTTGCAGGGAGAGCACTTGCTTATACTATTTTAGAGATCAAACAATGATATTGAGCTTCCATTTTAATATTTATCATATAAAAAATATCTTTTGAGAGAATCTTGAGCCCCAATAGCATCTCCACAGGTCACAAAAGTTTGCAACTTTTTTGAAATAAAAGTATGAAATTGTATTGAAACAAAGGTGCCAAGGGAGCACTGCCCATATACAAAATTTACATATAAATTAGCATATCTACAATGATACAAAAATCGTCAGTACTATTAAGGTTATACCCTAAAACAGTAGAGGCAAAATAGTGAAACCAATTGTTCTTGATGGTGCCAAAATCTAATTCCTTTCCCTCAAAAGCATGATTGTTTCTTACTTTTCAAATGACCCCAAAGAAAAGTTAGAGAATGAGTCTGAGGGATTTTTTTCTTTTGCTAATTCCTTTACAGTCCAGAACCAGAAGTTCAGAGATGGTCAATTCGGCCATAACTTAGGAAATACCCAAGAGACCTATAACCATAAACCAGAGCTTATAAGATATAGAACACCCTAGAAGAAGATGGTTACTGATAGGAACCCAAGATCAACCAACGTGATCAGGAACTCACACAATTTCATTTAAAGGCATTAAAGGAATTGATCCTATAGAAATATTTTCTACTTAACCCACTATCAAAAATGATAGAAACTAAGCTCATTGAAAATAATAAAAAAAAAATAGAATAGAAAAACGTCACAAGGTCGTATCTTAATAAGTAAATCCACTTCTTATTTAACAAGATGGTGGAAGAATCTCGTTTGAAAAGAAATACTTTTAATATTATTGAAATAATTTCTCAATGTCTTATAATGAAAACTCGTTGGTCTATTTATAGGTTAAACTAAATAAATAAATAAAATCTCTTAATTTAATTTGCAATTACATAAGAAATAAATTAAAAATTAATTTCCTAAATAAGATAAATTTAGTCTTCCCTTTTAATTCAAAGAGATCGTGGCCAAATTAAGAGGGAAGACATATGAAAATAAATTAAAAATTAAAAGTTAATTTTCTAACTAAAATAAATTTTTCTCTTTAATTAAAAGAGATTGTGGTCAAACTAATAGAGACATGTACAAATTTAGGACTGACGATAAGATCTCATTTTTGGTCTATTTCCTCCTTTTTCTTTGGATTTGGATCTTCTCTTTCTGGTCCATGTCCTTACTCACATTGTAATACCCTTGATTTATTAATTTCAATATAATTAAAATTAGTATATAAATATAGTTTTTTAATTTTTTAATTTTTATCTAATGTAAAATTGAAAAAAATTAAATGGATGATGAAATTGAAAACAATTTTGGAAAAATGAGTGAAAATTTGGATTCTGCCGGTATTTTTAAAAGAAAATTTAAAAACTGATGATCAAAATGCAATTTATAAAAATTATGTCACGTGAAATGCCCAATCAGCAGCCCCAACGAACTGGAACGCGGCGTGTGGCAAGGGACGCTAACCGATGCCACACGGGAGGCCACGCTGGCGATCCGCGTGCCTGCGATCGGACAGTTCAGATTCGTTCCCGCGAGCACGAACAGTCTGGATCCGTTCCCTCCCCAGACGCGATCGGACGGTCACATGTAAATGCGATGAATGGTCCAGATCCACTTCCTATTTAAATGCAATCGGACGGCGCAGATCAAATCACGATGAACAATCCAGATTCACTCCATATTTAATCACGATCGAACGGTCCAGATCAAAAGTGATGAACAGCCCAAATCAAAACGCAATGAACAGCTCAGGCTCACTTCATATTTAATCGCGATCGGACAGTTCAGATCAAATGCAATGAACGGCGCAGATTAAAAAGGGACGGATATAAATAATCCTTTTCACACCAAACCCTAACCCTACCGGCCAAACGTCCCCCCGTCGGAGAAGAAAACCAAGTCGCCGAGAAGGAAGCCGATTGCCGCCACTGCCGCACTGGAGCCACTTCTGACCGCCAAAAGAGGTAAAAAAAATTTCCTTTACTCAAAATTTGATTTTAAACATTCCCATGACCAAATTGGAGCAAAAAGACTGGCAGATTAGCCGGAAACTGCGGCAAAGCCTGTCAGCGCCGCCGTAGGAAAATGCAAAAACTGCCTCCAATGAGACCCTTTCCGATTCTACTTCTGCGTAATTCTTCCACCATTATAATTACCATTATCTTCTTTACAGGTTGACCGAAACAAAACACCCAACCGCGAATGTGAGCTGGCAGAGCCGCCGTGGGCGGCGGTGCCGTTGCCAGAGCACGGCGAAGCCGTCGTGCCGGAATTCTGAAATTGGCCAAAAAGGTTTCCTAACACTGATTTTGTATTTTTTTTTTATATTTCTAAGTATTTGAAGCGCGTTTTAATCCCCGAAAAAAATTCAGGAACCCAGGAACCGACAGTAAGCGCAATCAAAAGTTTAGCGTTTCGGACATCAATTTGAGTAAGAATCCCTCATCATATTCTCTGTTATGGAATTGAAGTTTAAGTTTAAATAATATAGTATTTTGTGAAAACTTAAAAAATATTCATAATTAATTACAGGTTACGAATAGAGCTGGAATCGATTATTTACTATTGTTTGCTATGATTAACTAATTGTCTAATTTTATAGTTTTCGAATGCGTGATAATACACTGAAATTGATATGATGATGCGATTGTATTCGTTTGATACATATTTTGCTTGTTTTATGTAATTACGGTTGAATTAAGAAACTGAAAATTAAAAGTAAACAGGAAATTGTTTGATTAAGTGAATGGATAAAACGGCGGCCTTACTAGATATCCTGAGAGATGGTGGACGGATCGGGTACATAGGGAACCTTACCGTGAACGTTGCCTCATACCAGACGGGGTATTGAGAGATGGTATGTTTTGGTGCTCGTACCGAACGGGGTATGGGGACGGCCTGTTAATTGAAAATGTAAAAAAGATGGTTCACGCGTAGTGAGGACATCCTTATGGACCTCCATGGATATTAATACGCTGATAAAAGGGAATATTGTTGTTCCGACTGATTGTACATGAAATTATGATATTTGTTATGTTATTGACTCTATATGTTTTTTTTTTAAATCTCATTACAGTAAGTATGCGGTAAATAATTTTATTTATGATAAATAAATTTAATTAAATTAAAAACTCCATTAATTGTTTTTATAATTTCTATCAAACTTCATTTCTATGTCAGTGAATAGCGTGATATTCTTACTAAATTAGTGTAACTCACTCTTTCATTAACCATTTCAGATCAAGAGAACCAGAATCCAGAGTTCGATCTACAAAGAGGGTTGCGAGTAGAACGTTCAATTTGTTTACTTTTAATTTATTTCTTTGGTTATTAATTGTTCTTTTAGAAAGGTTATTCCCATAAGCCCCATTTGGTAGTTTCAGTTATTGTGTAAGAAATGTAAACCTTAACTATTTATTTCGCTTCCGCACTAAATTTATAATTTATCTTCTTTGGAGTTCCGAGGTCGTTACACACATCATGCCCTCCCCCTTCAAAAGCGATTCGTTCTCGAATCAGACACTTCTTATGTAGAGGTTTCACCAATCCTGTTTGTTTTTAGAAAATGTCCTGCAAAACAACACTATTTACAAAAAAAGTTTGAGGTGAGTTAATAATTTTTTCTTCAAAGATGGTATCCTTAGCTCTTGTTCCATATAGTAACATTCTCTTTTCATATTTCTCAATCCTTTATTTCCTCCGGACTTTATAGAATTTTT